TGCATATTCCACGTGCCAGAGGGTCCCGCTGGCACCCCTGTACCCATCTCAGGGACCCAATTTCCCCAGCCCCAAGGTCTGTGGCTGTGGGTTGAGGCCAGCAGGAGGCTGAGCTGTAGCAGTCATATTTTCTGGAAAAATCTCATTGTCCAGCATTCTTCTCCTGGGAAGCTGAGAAGCCTCAGAGAAAAAGGAAAACAATATTATCTCATTTGCTTCTCCTGTGTTTTGCTGCTTTGGAACGTGGTTGGAGATTGTTTATCCAACAGGTGATTGTTTCGTTGGTTTCATGTGAATTGTTTTGACTTATTGGCCAGTTGGAGCCAAGCTGTATCGGACTCCAGAAAGAGTCGTGAGTTTCTTTAGTATCTTTTTAGCCTTCTGTCTGTATCCTTTCAGCATTCTTTAGTACGGCTTAGTATAGACCATAAAATAATAAATTAACCTTCTGAGAACATGGAGTCAGATTGATCATTCCTCCTCTGTCTGGGAACCCCATAAATGCAATACTGAGCTGCTGAGCTGGGCAGTGGGGCAGCAGTGGGGGAAGCACAGCTCCCAGCACACACAGAACACCGGCCGCGGGCTGCCCCACGCTCTGTGGTTTAACGTGTTCCCCTTCCCACCGCCCTCAGGGCTGTGACACCACCACAGCCAGCCTGAAATAAACTGGCACAGGGGGAAAAATGCTTCAGCTTGGCTTTTCCCAGGCAGAGCGGGCCCTGCTGCAGCCGTTGCCGTGGCTGTGCGGCGCTGCTGGTGTGGGAGGTGGCAGCAGGCACAGAGCTGGCAGGGAGGAGCAGGGTTCTGCTCAGACAGCTTCCAGCCTGCCCAGCAGGTTCCACCTGGGCACCTCCCAGTCCTCTCAGCACGGCTGCTCCTGGCCCTTGGCTGTTTCATGGAGACTCCTCTTCATTTTTCCCCTGGTTTCCCCCACTAGGGACCCTGGGAAGAGCTGCTGTGGGTGCTGGGGGTGGCAGCAGAGGGGAGGGCTCGGTGCCCAGCAGGGATGGGTGCTGGGGTGTGGAGGCTCCCCTCGGTCCCACAGCTCTGATCCCTGTGTGCCTGAGCTCTCCTGAGCTTCCTAGCAGGCGAAACATGATTTTCTCCTCCTCTCCATCTTTTCAGGTTAGTAAGGCAAAGCCTCTCTCCTCCAGGGCAGTTTCCAAAGGAGGTGTTTGACCACTGCAGCCAAGGAGGCTCCCGTGTGCCCATCCCTGGAAGCGCCCAAGGCCAGGCTGGAGCATTGTGCTCTCGTGGAAGGTGCCCTTGCCCACGGCAGGGGGTGGAATGGAATGAGCTTTTAGGTCTTTCCAACCCAGCCCTTCCCGTGATTCCATAATTCCATCCCCCAGCCCCTCCTGGCACCGCCATTCCACAGCTTTGGGAGGCAGGGAAGGGGTGGCTGGAGAGGAATCAGCCCAGCTCACAGAAATAGCAGCGACAGAAGGAGTGTTTGGTGTACCCGACCTTCTGCTTTGTACAGCTCCAGCGCTGTACAAACTAAAAATACCTCTTACCTTGACTGCTCCAAGGAAGAACACTTGCTTGGCAGGTTGTTTAGGATTCAGGGGAAGAAAGTTCAGGCAGAGCTCAATTAGTCTGCCTCAATTTACAAGCCAAGTTCTGTGTCTGCATGATTTGCTTCGCTTGTCTGTGCACATTTTAAAGCACAGAGCAATGCTGTGGGAGGGCGTTTTTCACTGCACGTACTTAGGGCAGAAACTCTGCTGTTATTCACATGTTTACAGCCCTCCTCGTAATGAAACTGCTGTGTTCTCTGCCACATTAAAAAAAAAAAAAAGAACCAGTGATGTGCTGAAATGAGCAGAATATGTGGGAGGATAAAGATGTGCGTTGCAGACCGTGGATCTCCTCGTGAGCTCTGCCTTCTCCTGCTCATTCCTGCTGTCCAGCTGGGCAGTGCTGGTTAATTCTGGGAGCTCTTCTCAGAAGGGATCCGTGTGGATGCAAGATGAGAAGTTGCTGCATTTCTCTGTGATGTATGTGAATTTTTTCATACTCACAAGTCATGGCCATACTTGACTTTATTTGGGAGCAATCCCTATATTTCCTGTGGCCTAGAATCACGGAACCATTAAAGTCAGAAAAGACATCCAAGACCATGGAGTCCAACCTAAGAGAAGATTCCTGCCAAAAAACCTCCAAGCAGCATCCTCCTCATCCATAAGTTATTATGTCAGCCTATGCTGACAGAGACATAACAGAAAACCTCACAAACTGGATTGATAAAGCCCAAAATTAGGAAAACCGTGGCTTTGGAATGGAGCAAGGACCTGGCTGAACGCTTTTCCCCCTGCTGTGAACTTGCTGCATTTCCTATTCCTGCTTATTAAGCAGGCAGCTGACAGCTGCTGGCAAGGCTTGGGAATAGCAGAGGAGCGTGGCGTGTCCGAAGGCTCTCCAGGCCTCTTTTGGGCAGCAGCTCGGGAGCAGCTCCTTAGGTGGGATACCCTTGGGCCCTGCGTGTCCCAGCCAGAAATAGCCCTGGGAATCTGCTCCTCTGGCCACCGGGAAGGCCGGTTTGCCCGGTGGGAAAGGGGAGCCCACGCGTCTGTGGTGCAGGAGGAGGCCAGCCCAGCCTTGGGTGGCAGCTCCTGGAGGATCTCCGGGTGTTTTTTAATCACTCCCTGACTGCCTGAGTGCAGACCCTGCCAGCCGTCCTCCCCTCTGCTGCTGGCTGCAGGATCTGTGTCCTGATCCAGTGTGGAATGGGGTTCCTGCAAGGCTCTGCCTGCCCGCGGGGGAAAACTCATCAATGTGCCAATTCATGAGTTGGTTTTCAAATTGGGCCTAAACACGGGTGAATTCTGTCCTGTCCTGGTCCTTCACATGAGCAACAGCTCTTGGGTGGGTGCAGCACTAGGATCTGCCCTCGGTGTAAAGGATTCCTTTTAGTTTAAATACTTTAAACCCCCTTTTTTAATGTTAGGAGTGGTAATGTTGTCTTGAGGCCGGAAGTGCCTGTAAACTGTGAATTATACTCATGGAAAACGTTGTCTTTTGGACTTTTGACCCACGAGGCTGATTGTGGGGCTGTTTTAATGCAAACAGCAGCGTGCAAGCACGGCGTGCAACACCCCAGAGCGGAGCTGGAGCTTCCTGCAGGCTGCAATTCCCGCTTCCTGCTGCACGGAATGCACAGCTCTGCTGATTGCGTTCACGTGGTGATCGATCTCCCCTCTGCGCATTAAATACTTCCCGCCTGTTTTCACCAGAGAATGGAATGGTTTGGGTTGGAAAGGACCTTACAGGCAGTCTGGCTCTATCCCTGCCATGGCAGGGACACCTTCCACTGGCCTGGCCTCGGACATTCCAGGGATCCAGGGCCAGCCACGGCTGCTCTGGGTGCCTGTGCCAGGGCCTGCCACCCTCAAAGCAGGAATTCCTCCCCAGTATCCCCCCTGGCAGAGGGAAGCCATTCCCGTGTCCCGTGTTTGGCGTGTTTGCTCCAAAGAGTCACCCCAAACCTTTCACCGTTGGGAGATTGTGGAGAACTGAGCGAACACCGGCAGCACAGGGGAGCCCTGTGCAGAGCCCCTTGGAAAGCAACGAAAGGCAGACGCTCTGCCTTCCCTCGGAGCTGCAAATCCCAGCCCTCGAGCCCGTTTCCGGAGCAAATCCCCTCCCGTGAGCTGCCGGTGCCATCTGGCAGGAGCACGTCAGGGATGGAGCGGGAATTGTCGGTGTTCTGTCCCCAAAACGTGCGCGCGTGCGGTGCAACGCGTTCAGGCCTTTCCAGGCCTTTCCTGGGAATGTCGTTTTAATTAGGAGGTGCTCGGTGCCATCTGATTCATCCCTAAAAGGCTTTGAGAGGACGTGTTCTGCTCTCGGGGTGTAATTTATGGTGATTATTCACATCCCAGGAAGGGGGGAGCTGCTGCAATCCCCCTCGGAGTCACTGCAGGAGGGGTTTCCTCAAAAACCTCCCCAAAAGTGAGCACGGGGAGCTGTGGGACTGCAGGGAAATATAACATATAATTAATATATAATGAAAAACAACCCATGAAAAATGAAAAAAATTTCATTTTTTTGAAGAAATTAAACTATGGAGTTTTCCAAACCAGCCTGGAATTGATGAGCAATACGCATTCAAGAACGGAACAAATGTAATTAAATTAATTTTTAAAGCAATTGTTTCAAGCTTCTTGGAGCAGGCAAAGCAAATATTGGAAATAACATCCTTGCTGAGGCACAAAGTTTACTTTATAACAGGTGCCAAAATGTTCTGATGACGTAGAGATATAAACTGTGAGCAATCAAATTATGTTTTGAAAGACATGTCAGATCTGTGCCTGTTTATTATGTTTTTTATATATATTATGTTTTATATCTATCTATTGATATAACGCCTTTTATAATCAGATACTATTGATTTATTAGTATTATAACTACTGAGTTATCTGGTTATAATCAGATACTACTATATACATTATAATACATCAATATTGTAATGGGGCAAGCTGATCTACAATTACATCAATATGTTAGTATTAATATACAATGTGTATTATATTAATATTAACATTAAGTGTGCATTGCACGTTATTATGCATGATACATTGTTATTACATATTATATGTTATCATAGATATGATAATAGATTATACATTACATGTTATTATTTGTAGAAATAATAATATGCAGAAATATACTGTATGTTGCTATATTAATAATATGTTAATGTGTATTAATACCGCAAACATCTACCACCTCCACTTCACACTACCTCTGTCCGCTAAGTAGACAGAAATGCCCACGAAAGCGGGAAATATTGTTAAAACTTTCAGATCACGGCCTGAAAATCAACTTTTATTAGAGAAAAATGACGAATGTCCTAATTCCGCTTTATTTCTGAGGGAGCCCACACGCGGGAGGTACCACCGGCGGGCGAGGCGCGGGGGTCGACGGGGCTCCCCCGTCGACCCATTCCCCCCCTTGTCCGCGATGGTAGAGCCCACGGCGGGAAACCCCGCGCCCGCCTCACACAATGCGCGCGCAGTTCGCGGCGTGGCCGCCGGCGGCGCTGCAGCGCCCGCCCCGTGGGGGTGCCCGGATGTGGCCGCGCCGGAAGAGAAGCGCGTCTCCTCAGGGCCCGCCATCTTGTGCGGCAGCGAGCAGGGCGCGGGGGGCCCGGTAGCATCCGCGCAGGATCCCGCCGACGGGGGCCCATCATGCCCGGACACCTGCAGGAGGGCTTCGGGTGCGTCGTCACCAACCGCTTCGATCAGCTCTTCGATGACGAGTCCGACCCCTTCGAGGTGCTGCGCGCGGCGGAGAGCCGGAGGAAGGAGAGCGGCGGCGGCGGCGGCGGGAGCCAAGCGGGCGGCGGGGCCCGCGGCCCGGCGGGCGCCCAGAGCGGCTCC